CAAGAAAGCCAAAAAGCCACAGAGGCTTCTTGGCTACCATCTCTACAGGGCCATAGCCCTTCCAAGGAACATCCTATGGTCTCCCTTGCCCCCACCCCCAGCTCTTCAGGACTGGATGCAGGAACCTGCCAAGGCCTCAGGAGCTCCAGTTTCTGCTGAAAACACCTCAGTGAGCAGGTAGCTGAAGACCACTTACTCCTTGGGCAGATTCTCTGCCACCAAAAGGGTCCCTGGGCCTGACCCTCCCAGGGAAAGGGATGTCTCCTGGCAGAGCGATACAGGAACAAGCTCTTCTCTGAGCCACCCCAATCCCAACCAAAGGTCAGGGTGTCTCAGGACCAGCCACAATGAACAGCAGCCTCCTCTGTCCTGCCAGCAAGGCTGGGACATGGCTCTGTCCCTCTGCAGCCTGGTGTGCTGCAGGGGTGAGCACCACCACATACCTTCTTCTTCTTCTTCTGAAGCTCAGCAGAGCCATCTCCTACAGGCTCCCCTTCTGAAGACACCTTTTTGTTCTTCTTCTTTTCCTTTCCAGTCTTTTTTTCTGGGAGAAAGAAAGAGAAGTCAGCTAAGACAGTGATTCTGGTGTTGCAAGCCTCCAAGATGGAGCACAGAGTGGCAGGAGCACCTCCAGTAAGTTTCTGACCACATCTGAACCTTGGCAAGCTTTCCAGAGCAGCAACTGCATGAGGGGAGAGCTCTGCTACAAGGCAGCTGTGCCCAGGGCTGTTTCTCCAGCACCTCTGAGCCAGAACAGTGTGATCCCACTACATGCATGGGCAGCATTACACAGGATCCCCTTCTTCCCACCTCCTGCTGCCCCACCCACTCCAAGGAACTGCTTCAGCAGTGGAGTAGCTGCGCAAGGGCCAGGAAATGAGAGCAAGGGGAGCACACAAGGGCTGACAGACAAACCTGTCTCCTCCAAAAAGAAGGGCTGCACTTCTGTGGAACAGAAGCCCTGGCAGATCTGGCCCACGAATTCTATCTCCTTTTTTTTATTTAAAAAAAACCCAAAACATACAAACAAACAAAAAAACGAACAAAAAAAAAACCCCAAAACCAGAAACAAAACAAAAAAAAAACCCAAACCAAACACAAAAAAACCCCAAACCATATGAGATCCAGCACAGAACCAGCACTGACCTGCAAGCAAAAAAAATTGCCTTTGCAGGAGGGCAGCAATCAGAGCGTTACAGGGAGGCGTGTAGACAAGAGGGGCAGGAAACTCTTCTCTGGGAGGAAGGAGCAGGAGGCTGGTACCACCCTCCTCCTCCTCCAGGGGTTGGGAAGCAGCAGTAACAGCCGTGAGTCAAAGCTCTGCTTCCAGCCAGGATAAAGGTGAGGAAAGGAGAAAGCCCTGGAGGACCAGGTGGTGCCTGGCTCTGTGAGCAGCAGGGATCAGCGGGAGGATCAACGCTGGTCCCGCTGTGCCGCACGCAGGACGGAGAGCCCAGCTCAGACCTGCTACTGAGACTGCAGAAGGACACTGAAGTGGGGTGCTAAAAATCTGGCATTGGCTTTGGGTGGGCTACAGAGGAACTAGCCAAGCAGGAAGCTAACAGGAAAGTGGGTGCTACCTGCAGGCCCCACACCAGAGACTAAACGTGCACCAGCTGCACGAACCTACTGTAAATGCTGCCCCAAGTGAGGGACACTTACTTTTAGCTGATTTTTTCTTTTCCTTGCTGCCTGGCAGCTTCTCAGAGTCAGCAGGTGCTTTCTTCTTTTTCTTTTTGGGTACTTCTTCATCAGCTTGCCCTTTCTGCTTCTTCTCCTTGGGCTGCCCAACAGCTCCATCCTCTGCTGGCAGTTTCCGCTTCTGAGACGTTTTCTGCTTCTTGTTCTCTTTGTCTTTGCTCTTTGATGTTTTCACACTCTTGTCTGCCACAGAGGACGGTTTCTTCTTCTCCTTCTTTTCTTTTTTCTCCTTTTTCTTCTTTTTCTTCACTTCTGACCCATCCAGTGTTTGTGCTGCAGGAACTCTGGCATCAGTGGTGGCCTCGGTTTTGCTCCCCAAGTTCAACTCGTCCGATTGTGGGATGGAGAAGGGGGCATGTGATGCAGAGGTGGCTTGTGCCCCTTTTGCCCCAACATCGTTCTCTTTCACAGCCAGGGCTTTCTTGAGTGGGGAAGGTTTGAGGCTGGCATGATCCGGCTCCATTTTTCCTGCCACCTTCTCTTTGTTGGAGTCTCCTGGGGCTTCCTGCCCTGGAGGAGTGTTGTTTTCTGCAGAAGCAGTGAGAAGAGAACTCAGGAAGCATTCATTACACAGACCACAGAGTTACTGGAGGATGGAAATACATGTCTGAAGAGGAGTATCCAGTTCTCCCCCCAAAAGCAAAACCTGCTGGCTGTCCCACCTACAGCAGAGCGAGAGAGCCAGAAAGATGCCTCAGCCTGGGATCAACTGTCTGGCCAGGGGAGGGGGTGACAACAGCCACAACAGCTTTGGTTGTTTGACTAGAGGAAACTGGAGCACAAGATGGGTGA